TATGTATGTATGTATGTATGTATGTATGTATGTATGTATGTATGTATGTATGTAATGTATGTAATGTATGTAATGTATGTAATGTATGTAATGTATGTAATGTATGTAATGTATGTAATGTATGTAATGTATGGTATGGTATGGTATGGTATGTATGTATGTATGTATGTATGGTATGTAATGTCTGTATGTATGTATGTATGTAATGTAATGTTATGTAATGTTATGTAATGTTATGTAATGTTATGTAATGTAATGTAATGTTATGTATGTATGTAATGTAATGTAATGTAATGTAATGCAATGCAATGTAATGTAATGCAATGTAATGTAATGTAATGTAATGTAATGTATGTATGTAATGTATGTATGTAATGTATGTATGTATGTAATGTATGTATGTATGTATGTAATTAATGTATGTATGTATGTATGTAATTAATGTATGTATGTATGTATGTATGTATTGTATTGTATGTATGGATGTATGCATGCATGCATGCATGGATGCATGGATGCATGTATGTATGTATGTAATGTAATGTAATGTAATGTACTGTACTGTAATGTAATGTAATGTAATGGAATGTAATGTAATGTAATGTAATGTATGTAATGTAATGTAATGTAATGTAATGTAATGTAATGTAATGTAATGTAATGTAATGTATGTATGGTATGTATGTATGTATGTTTGCATGCATGCATGCATGCATGCATGGATGTATGTATGTATGTATGTATGTATGTAATGTATGTAATGTATGTAATGTATGCAATGTATGTAATGTATGTAATGTATGTAATGTATGTAATGTATGTAATGTATGTAATGTATGTAATGTATGTAATGTATGTAATGTATGTAATGTATTTAATGTATGTAATGTATGTAATGTATGTAATGTATGGAATGTATGTAATGTATGTAATGTATGTAATGTATGTAATGTATGTAATGTATGTAATGTATGTAATGTATGTAATGTATGTAATGTATGTAACATATGTATATATGTAACATAGGTCGGACACTCGCTCCCGACGCCGAAAATCAACTCGCTTTCAACGCCAAAAATCGACTCGCTCCCAACGCCTCTTTACTGATTTCGACAACATGATAACATCAACAACAAGAACAAAATCAACAGCAGCCTCAACATCGGCAACACAAAAACATTAACAACCACAACAACATCATCAACATTCACATCAACATCAACGCCAACAGGAACATCAACAACAACAACAACAGCAACAACAGCAACAGCAACAGCAACAGCAACGACAACAACAACGACAACAACAACAACAACAACAACACCTAGAACAACAACAACAACAACGACAACAAAAACAAAAACAAATACAACAACAACAACACCTAGAACAACAACAACAACGACGACGACGACGACGACGACGAAGACAACAACAACAACAACAACACGACTACTACTACTACTACTACTACTCCTGCTACTACTACTACTACTCCTGCTACTACTACTACTACTACTACTACTAGTACTAGTACTAGTACTAGTACTAGTACTAGTACTACTACTACTACTACTACTACTACCTGACTACTACTACTACTACTACCTGACTACTACTACTACTACTACTACCTGACTACTACTACTACTACTACTATTACTACCACCACCACCACCACGACGACGACGACGACGACAACGACGACGACTGCGATTACGACTACGACTACGACTACGACGACGAGGACGAGGACGAGGACGACGACGACGACGACGAGGACGACGACGACGACTACTACTACTTCTTCTACTTCTACTTCTACTTCTACTTCTTACTACTAAGACTACTACTATTACAACAACAACCACTACTACTACTACTACTACAACCACGTACCAGACTAATTACCTTAGTATCAATATATAAATATATATATATATATATGTATATATATATATGTATATATATCTATATCTATATCTATATATATATGATTATATATATAAATATATAATTATATATATAAAAATCTACATACATATAGTTAAGAAATACATATGTATATATATATATTCTCGGGATATAGTTAATTGTTTTGTAGACACAACTTTGAATTGGGGGGCCACCTTGGCATAGCGGTTGCATTTGAAGTAAAGGAAGAGGTGGAACTTGATAAAATCTTAGATGGATTGGGATTGCACAAGAACAGAACAACATATTTGAAGAGAAATCAGAAGGCTTTCTCAGTGTTGATCATTCCGCCTGTATGGTAGCCTGATGGTTCCCCCCCCACCCAACCTAAAGGGTTGAATCCCCTTGAAGGTTTTCTCAATGTTGATCATTCCCCCTGTATGGTACCCTGATGTTTCCCCCCGCCCAACCTAAAGGGTTGAATCCCCTTGAAGGCTTTCTCAGTGTTGATCATTTTTCCTGTATGGTACCCTGATGTTTCCCCCCCCACCCAACCTAAAGGGTTGAATCCCCTTGAAGTGTTTATCAGTGTTGATCACTCCGCCTGTATGGTACCCTGATGGTTCCCCTCCGCAACCAACCTAAAGGGTTGAATCCCCTTGAAGGTTTTCTCAATGTTGATCATTCCCCCTGTATGGTACCCTGATGTTTCCCCCCCACCCAACCTAAAGGGTTGAATCCCCTTGAAGGCTTTCTCAGTGTTGATCATTCCGCCTGTATGGTGCCCTGATGGTTCCCCCCCCACCCAACCTAAAGGGTTGAATCCCCTTGAAGGTTTTCTCAATGTTGATCATTCCCCCTCTATGGTACCCTGATGTTTCCCCCCCCAACCTAAAGGGTTGAATCCCCTTGAAGGTTTTCTCAGTGTTGATCATTCCCCCTTATGGTACCCTGTTCCCCCCCAACCTAAAGGGTTAATCCCCTTGAAGGCTTTCTCAGTGTTGATCATTTTTCCTGTATGGTCCCTGATGTTTCCCCCCCCCCACCCAACCTAAAGGGTTGAATCCCCTTGAAGGGTTTATCAGTGTTGATCATTCCCCCTGTATGGTACCCTGATGGTTCCCCTCCCACCCAACCTAAAGGGTTGAATCCCCTTGAGGGGTTTCTCAGTGTTGATCATTCCGCCTGTATGGTACCCTGATGGTTCCCCCCCACCCAACCTAAAGGGTTGAATCCCCTTGAAGGGTTTCTCAGTGTTGATCATTCCGCCTGTATGGTACCCTGATGGTTCCCCCCCCACCCAACCTAAAGGGTTGAATCCCCTTGAAGGGTTTATCAGTGTTGATCATTCCCACTCTATGGTACCCTGATGGTTCCCCCCCCCAACCTAAAGGGTTGAATCCCCTTGAAGGGTTTCTCAGTGTTGGTCATTTTCCCTGTAATGTTTGTTCATGATGGGGTTCCAGAGGTGACGCCTCAGTATTAATGGGGAAACGGAAAATCGACTCGCCCTCGACGCCGAAAAGTTCTTTTTTTTGTTGGAAGTGAGTTGATTTTGGGTGTTGGGAGTGAGTTCTTGGTGTTGGGAGTGAGTCGGTGTTGGAAGTGAATTGATTTTTGGTGTTGGAAGTGAGTTGTTAACCTGTAACATATGTATGTATGTAACATATGTATGTATGTAACATATGTATGTATGTAACATATGTATGTATGTAACATATGTATGTATGTAACATATGTATGTATGTAACATATGTATGTATGTAATGGTATGTATGTATGTATGTATGTAATGGTATGTATGTATGTATGTATGTATGTATGTATGTATGTATGTATGTATGTATGTATGTATGTATGTATGTAATGGTATGTATGTATGTAATGGTATGTATGTAATGTAATGTAATGTCATGTCATGTAATGTAATGTAATGTAATGTATGTATGTATATATATGTATATATACATATATAGTAAACCAAGTGGAGATTTTTTTTGGACACTTTCTCCCGCGTTGAACCATTCAAAAAACGTACTCTTTGATGGTCCAGCCAGGTCTTGTGCACCTGGGGTGAGGAGCCCTTGGGCATCACCCGAGCCTTTCGACAAGGAGACATGGACCAAGCTGGGATGTTTTTCTTACTGAGGGTAATTGGATGTACATCTGCCCTGGGTGCTTTACTAATGCAATCAACTACGAGATTGTGGGGATGTCCTCAACAATACTGGGGATATTTGGGATTTCGATCTGGATTTCGCCAGTCATGATGTGACATTGTAGATTTTAAAGATGCACCGGTCATTGGGCTGAAACTTTTTTTGCATGCCAATTTTTCGTCAGGAGGAAACGAGTATCGGCTTGGCGAATGATGTCAGGATGCAGGATCCTCTTACTACCTGGTACCTATTACTTCTTTTCCACTGCACCTGTTATGCCCGACAGTTAGCTATGTACATAAACATGGACAGAGCTGCCAATTTTTGGATCAACCTGAAGGGTTGTGGGTGGCTCTAGGCCAGCGCCTGGGGCGGCATGCGGTATGGCTAAGCCAACTATGTTGTCTGCAGGGTGCGTCACAATGATACCTGAAGTCAAAAGTCACTCAGTGCTGTTGGATGGGATGTGTGAGTGCCTGGAAGTAGCCTTGGAGGCTAATTCACACACTGTATGGGAGATTCAATTATGGAAAGATGAGTCATGATTCATGATCCAAAGGCTTGCGATTGTCAAATGGTTTCTGGAGACTTGCCAAGCAAAAACACCATTGAGCACATGGAACGCTTGCCATCGCAATAAAAATCATTATATATATATATGTATATATATATATATATAAATGTATAGACACGCACGCGCACAGACACACGCACACACACACACACACGCATATATATATATATGTATGAATATATGTATATAGAGGCAATGGGACTTTGATGCTTTTGAAGTTTCAGCAGACTTGCGAGCTGTGTGTTTTTCTTGGTCAGCTTGGCCCTAGCTGCTAGCTGCCTCCTATGGAAGCTGCAGTGCGGCTTGGGAGGAGTACCGAACCAAGTTGATGTGCCTTCAAGTTGATCTTTCTGCGGAGCATTTTCAGGAGGATACAATTAATTGGGTTTTTGGCGTGCCCTTTCTGTGATGCAAAAAGCTTCCAAGACGATTTCCCAGATGAAACTTCTTAGCAACAATTTCTTTGAGAGTGGCCACAGCTGGTGACTTCATAACCTTCGTATGTCAATGCGTGATGTGTTCTTCTTCCCTTTTCTGCTGCTTGATACCTGCATTGTTCAGTTTAGTGTTTCTGATCATGTTCCAGTTCGAACCGATCCGATTTCACTGTTCCCAGCGCTTGAGTGGTTCGACTTCCACAACATTTGCTGAACCCACAGCGCAACTCATGTCCCAGGCCAAAACAAGACGTTCGGCATCCGGCACTCCCGCACGCCATTTTCATCGTGTCAGTGATGTTCACCTGCTGAGGAGGCTGTTACATTCCCATGAGCCAGGAAATGTGTGTGTCACAGTCTCACCATCACAACTCTTCGTGGCCCAAAAACTGGGTGTCGCTCAAATTGCTGTTTTTTTTTTGCTTCTCGCAACTGTTCCGTCTTGTGATTCTTAAAATGAGCATATCGATTTGCTTACTTCTGCCGAGCATATCTGAAATTGTCCACACAAGGGGCCAAATGGGACATTCCAGATCTTCGATTGCACCAACTTTCACTGCAGTTGCTGACCTACTGAGGCGTCCTTTGCTCCTGATGTGGAGCCCACGTGCTGTTTCTCTCATAAGTCATGTGGGGAAGCCCAATGATTTTTGGGCAACTACTTCCTGACCATTTTTTTGGACAAACATACATCCGTGCAGTTTGATGATCAAAAAAGGGTCATCTGATTGCTCTGGCCAGCCCGGAGGTCGGCTGAGAAGAAATGCTTCGTCCGATGCGAGAGGTGAAAAATGGCCTGGTTGCACGAATTTGAAGCCACAGTAGTGTCACTATTGTCACAATGGATGAAACAGGAAAGTGAAAAATCAATGCCAGCTTGGGCCATTTTTTGCCCGGCATGCTCTGTTCTGTGGCCTGCAGACATGCTCTGCTGTTCTCAACTCGGAGCAGCTTGTGCTCCGTTGACTTTCAAAGGCATGCATGCAACAGAAGCCAGTAATGCTTTGACACATTAGGCCCAATCTACTCGCAGAGACATTTCAGCCTCAGACTTATGGCTGGCCTGTTGGGCCCTGCAAACTTTTCACTAGTCCTTGATGCCTGACATGAATCGCTGCTTTCTTCCTTCCACAATTTCTACTAACGTACAAAACTCATGTGTGGCCTCCAGCCATAAACTCGACTCAAATGGAGAAACCAATCAAGAATCATTGGACAAACATCCGCGTGTACGAGGTTGGAACAAGAACTGCAGCACAGCAGGATTATCCATACACCCGTTACAAATAATTAGTCATTCGGTTGTAGTCTGGTTGACGTTTCCCTGCAGGTTTCCTCCCGTGACTTCCATGACCTAACTTTCACAGCATTAGCCATGGGCGGCGGAAAAGGGAAGAAGGGCTGGAAGGCGCAACGGACGATGAACAGATTCTGCAGTTCCGAGCGCTTCTTTTTGCATCTGTGCTGTGCAGGGTGGGCCACCCTCGAAGGGTACTGGCAAGGCAGATGGAATCCGGCGACAGTTTTTAAAACCTATACATTTTGGGTAGTCCCCCCTCCCCCCAGTTGATGGCAAATGCTGGTCAGGGCCTTGGATTTCAAGTACACTATGGGCCAATCCTGGAGGCCAGACTTGCTAGCTGTGATGATCAAAGTTTGACAGTCTCCTATGGATTTCACTGCCCCTGTGGCATCCAATCTCCTCCTTGCAGGCACCACCTCTTTATGCCCAGCAACCCATGAGCCATGTGCCCAAAGCCTGCGAGCTTCGGGGCGCGCAGGCTCGGGGCTGGCTCAACATTTGGACCCCCTTCAACTGTTCTGATGGTTCACTGTATAATTAGTTCAATAATTCTAGTAATGCCTAACACAGCAATCACTTTCCTGGTGAAAATTGCAATTTTTGACGTATCCACCATTTTGAGACAAACACTTATGAGGGGAACGCTGGGAGTGGCTGCGGCCGTGCCCACAGACCGCAGCCAGGAGGCCAATCTCATCACGAACCATCGCAGGCTGCTCCACTTCTGGAAAACGTGTGGAGCTGAGGAGCCAAATATTGGGATGGGTCAATACCTATCATACGGTCAGAATAGAAATACGCGCAAACCCCCCACCTCGCCCACACCACCTTTCAGAGGATATTGAAGGGCGTGTTAAACTTATATTCAAGGGAATCTTCGACATGTTTCAGCAGAGTCTTGTAGGGAATTCAAATCCGCACCCCGCTTAAACTTTATATCCAAGGGAATTTTTAAAGGAGTTTAGGGTTTAGGGTTTGAGGGTTTAGAGTTTAGGCTTGATGTTGTTGTTGTTGTTGTTGTTGTTGTTGTCGTTGTCGTTGTCGTTGTCGTTGTGGTTGTGGTTGTCGTTGTCGTCGTTGTGGTTGTGGTTGTGGTTGTGGTTGTGGTTGTTGTTGTTGTTGTTGTTGTTGTTGTTGTTGTTGTTGTTGTTGTTGTTGTTGTTGTTGTTGTCGTCGTTGTGGTTGTTGTTGTGGTTGTGGTTGTTGTTTTTGTTTTTGTTTTTGTTTTTTTTTTGTTGTTGTTATTGTTGTTGTTGTTGTTGTTGTTGTTGTTGTCGTTGTCGTTGTGGTTGTGGTTGTCGTTGTCGTCGTTGTGGTTGTGGTTGTGGTTGTGGTTGTGGTTGTGGTTGTGGTTGTGGTTGTTGTGGTTGTGGTTGTGGTTGTGGTTGTGGTTGTTGTTGTTGTTGTTGTTGCTGTTGCTGGTGCTGTTGCTGTTGCTGTTGGTGTTGTTGTTGTTGTTGTTGTTGTTGTGGTTGTAACATTCAACGCACAGGTAGCTAAGCTGTGCGTTGCAAGATGAAAGCCATGATCATGGACATGTGCGTTTGGCCCCACAAAGCACAGAGTTTTTTGATCTTCGGAGACGTCGTCCAAGCTGAGGGGTTTGCCCCCGTAGAAATACTATGTGAAAGAGGATGCTGCAGCTTGAAGGCGGATACTGCAGCATGCAGTGCCAGTGCTGATGGAATAAGGTCTCCATACTACATCCACAAGGCTGGTGGGGCGATAAATCGTTTGCGGTTTGTCGTAGCAGCTGTTGATCTGGCTGTGCTTCTTGGATGGCAGGCTGACAAGTCGCGCAAGTGGCGTTTGACGAAATCGCCCGGAGCTAAGTTGCCAGCATCCACTGGTGGCATACCCCTTGCTAATCCAACCTGGCAATGAGCCAGGGCGACACCAAGTGCGGAAGACCAGTGGTGAGCTTAGAGCCATCGCCACAAGCCATGTGTGGGTTTTAGAGTTTTAGATTGTTTGCAAGAATGTGCTGAGATGTAGGCTGGTAGCCATTGTGAAGGCCGGTGGTTTGAGCCTGATACTCAGTGGGGCCAAAGTGTTTGCCAACAAGGGTGGCTCCTCGGCTCCCTCGTGGACTGTCCCAAGGCCATGAGCATTTTCCAGTGGAGCTTCAGACGAGGACCAGCTCACGTTGAAAGCATTGGGACCTACACTCCAGCCATACCCTGACGTCAGTCTGAAATGGCAATGCTTGTCCCTGAATTACGGCATGGCGCAAAAAAAACAATAGAAACCACAATAATTAGAAGGTTGAGATAGCATGTATCGGGTTGAAGACATTTGTTCCGTTTGATTCTAAGCTTCCAAGACTTTGAAGCATTCTTTGAGAGCCAGGGTGTGGTCCTCACGATTCCTTTTTTTGGGGGGCCGAAAAATGCAATGTCAGGAGCCTGCTTCGCGCGAAAGGCAAGACAGCAGAGAAGCAGGTCCTAGACGCTCTGAAGAGGTCACGAGGGCAATTCTTGACAAAACTGATTAGGTTGGGACCCAATTATTTCCTAATATAGATTAGGTCATGATTAGGTTTGGGATAGTTGTATTCTTACCAAATTATATCGTTTCATCATCAAACCTGGTAGTTGGGACCTTGGGACCAATGACTTCGGCTGCATGCTGTGCTTTTAGGACCAACTAGACCAACTATCCTGCATCATCCGCCGCCATTCGGGGGCTCAAGAGTTTGGGGGTTCCAATCTAGTTGGCTTTGCGGCGCCATCACCTCCCCTGGAAGTCGTCCAGGCCTTGTGTTGCCTTCCGTTGATTTCTTTCAGTGGACCTACTTGGACTTGAACCTGCATCCCAGTCTATGGCTGGTAGCAATTGGTGACCAGTAATACGTATAGTTATATATAAATGTTTATATGATATGTATATGTATATATATATATGCATATATGATATAATATTTATGTATGTATGAACCGTTGCACCATTGTATATATACCCCAGTTGCAGATGGAAAAGCACCATCTTGGGATGTATGAGACAATCCAACTGCGGCTACATGGCAGGGGTGCATTTGCCATGGCGATGTCGATGGCAAAGTCAACGTCTTTGCCTGGTGCGTGACACAGAGAGGGGCGAAAATCTTTTTATCACATCCTATTTTAAGTATCACTTCTCAGCTACATCTACAGCCATACCCTTTGCGATACCCTTGCTCTCCATGCACATGAGGCTTATGGAAAATGGGGACAGAGAAGCCACGAGGCTTGACAGGAAACGAGAAGAAGGCTCAGAGAGGGAGAGCAGCACGTGCCTGCTTTGATGAGAAAATCTTTAGCCGAATGACTCAAGCCATCTGACAACCATCTCCAAATGCGGTTTCAAAGCGATTGTGATTATATAGTCTGATCTGTTTTTGCTCTAACAGTTTTCCCTTAGTGCTCAAGTTTTTGCAAGCCAGAGTTTTTGGTACCCAAGTTAGTGTCCCGCCAGCCAGAGTTTTTGGTACCCAAGTTAGTGTCCCGCCAGCATGAACACCAGGTGACGCTGGCTTTCAAAGTCGGTGGGGATCTAGGCTCAGCAGTGGACAGGAAGAAAGGACTCGCCGCACAATATTGTTTTGGTGGTTGAGGCTGGAATAGGGCAGGAACAAGGCAGGCAAAGCAAGATTTTGATGGATTTCGTCCTTTCCCCCAGGGTAAATGCTGGCAGGACCAGCGTCGACGAAGGAGCATAGAGAGCTTGCAGGACTTCTGAAGACTGCAGGCGCCTCACACCGCGACCGTCGCGATCAACGTGGCAGCAGATCACCATACGGGCAAGATCAGAAGATGTAGTTCCCTCGGCTTGGATGTTGCTGAAACATGCTGAAACGCAATCAATTGTGATTTTCCATATGTTAGATTAGATTCCCAGCAAGTACAGGTTGATCTCCATTTATGCATTAATTATCCAACCAAAAAGGCCATGATTGTTGGTCCCCTCATATCATATCATATTATCTTTCAACAAATGCCACCAAAATCCAGAATTCCATCCAAGTCTCGTCGCGGGAGGCTGGCGGATGATGTATACTGAGCAACCTGAAGAACCTCCACCAGCTGAGGAGGTCGCTTCGGTCACGGGCGTCAGGTGCACTTGGCCATGCATATGATATTGTACCCACGAATATTTGCATGTATTATTTACAATTATTTGCATATGGAGGTTTCTTAAATTGGGGGTACTCCCAAATAATGTATTTACAATCATTTATCATTTATAGATGGATTTCCCACTATCAACCATCATAAACCATCCATTTTGGGGTACCACCATTTTAGGAAACCTCCATAATTATATTCGCACAATTATATACATAATACAGATGTAAATGCTCAAGATCCAGGTGGGTGGATGGATAGATGGACGGACGGATGGATGCACACATGTTGAAATGTTTTTATGTATCGCAATTCTACATGTACACATCAGATGGATATTGGTCCAACCAAATATGATGTAGGTATACTATGCCTTTCCATGGTGACCTCGCGACCTCGAACAAGTGACCTTGTCTGACAGGAGATGATCCCCCGAAATATGCGACATCCAAGAGAGGCACCTGCCTGGCTGAAACATGACAAGCAGGCGGCTGACCGGTTTGTGGTGGTCAGCGGTCAGCTGTCTGGAGGTTACCCAGTTCTGATGGTTCTGTGAGATGCGTTCCCCATCTCACCTCAGTAGGTATTGAACCTCAAGAATCGCCCATTCCCTGAGAATCCGCGTCTTGAAACGGGTCAAACATAGTCTTGTATGCAATTATGTCCATTGTTTCAAACCATTGAGTACATTGTCGGAATTAACGATGCTTGTCGGAAAAAGGGGCTTTGATAATGGAGATTGCTTTTTTGAGTGGGGTGTTGGAGTTGACAAAGAGCATGATGGACCGTGACACATGGTGACGTAGACCAAAAACTGTTGTGACGGGCTATGTGGAACTCCAAGGCCTGCTGGAAATTTTCCCTTTCCAGAAATGTCTTGAAGTAGCACGTCGGTCGCCAAATTTCAGGGAATGCCCCAGAGCTGACACATCCAAAATGTCAATCCATCATTCTTTGGATTCACAGGGATTGGCTTACGTTGGTTTACATCATCTACATTCATCTACATTTTACATCGTATATTCCATGGTATCCTAGGGTTTGTTGCTTCATCCACTTTATCCCATGATGTTTGGGACGTGGAGCCGCTGCCCGGAAACGCAGGTCCTGCGCTTCTACGGCTTCTTCCAGGAGACGGTCACGGAGCGGCCGGACGAGAATGCCCGCTACAGACACGTGTCCATCATGTTCCATATGGAAGATGGCACCATGAGCATGCACGAGCCCAAGGTAGGGTGGCGGGTACCAAGGGTACCAAGGGTACCAAGGGTACCAAGGGTACCAAGGGTACCAAGGATACCAAGGATACCAAAGTTTGGGGGTATGGCGAAGAAATATATATGACTGACTCAGAAATGGTGAGTTTAGGTGAGGTATATATACCGTACCGCATTTAGAATCATCCACCATTGGATGATTTCGAGAAGATCTAAAGAATCACCATCGGCGATACTGCGGCTGCCCCATCGTTGCCATGGCCAGGTGGAAAATTCGGGCCTCGCTCAAGGCCCCTTCCTGAAGAGACAGAAAGTGATGCGGCAGGATGGCATGGCCTATTTGGGACCCGATGATTTGAAGGTGGGCCAAGAGATCACCATCTACGGCCGCACCATTCACATCAATGGATGCGACCGATTTACCCGCTGGTTCTTTGAGCACCTTGGACTGTTGCCGCAGGTTCCGATTCATGGCCTTGGCCTCATGATGTTCTCAGTTTTGGTCCAAAAAGAGAGGTTACTCCGGTGCACGACACGTTGAGTGCATGGGTTTGGAGAAACGAAGAAAAGTAAAGACCCCCCGATATTTGACAAGAAAAACATGGAAAACCCATGGCTTCCTGTGGATTTCTCAGGCTTTTCCTTGGATCACTCCAGATGTCCACACCTCAGGCAGAATGGCATCTGGCTTCCTCCTGAAGAACCGGTCGTCGAGGACCAGTGGCAGAAGTCCTACAAGCTGAAGAAGATGATCGAAAGAGGAGAAATGCCTCTGTCGCGGGCTTCGGTTGATGTGGCTCGGCTGAGTAGGGCCTATACTACTACTACTACGACGACGATGACGACTACTACTAATACTACTACTACGCTACTACTACTACTACGACTACTACTACTAATACTACTATACTACGACGACGACGACGACGACGACTACTACTACTACTACTACTACTAAGACGACTACTACTACGACGACGACTACTACTAATACTAATACTAACACTAATACTACGTAATGCTAATGCTGATACAAATGCTAATACACATGTAGATACAGATGTCCACACACTAGACAAGAATGGATCATTATATGATCCGGCAGGAACTGAATCCTGAAACATGCAAACCAGCCTAGATCGTTAGATTAGTAAAGGAGCCACATGAGGTACTTCTCGAAAACGATGTAGGTCATCCAATGTTGTCAAACGAAGTCAAAACCAGAATCCATAGAGTTTTAACCAGCATGTTGAGAATCCACAATAATGTTTCGGCGATTGTTTCCCAAAATAACCCATAGTCGTCGGCGACATCATCTCGGCGAAAATAAATCAAAAAACATAATACTGTCGGCGATATGGTTTCGGCGAAAATCTGAGGAAGGTTCTGATGCATGTAAAAGTCAAAAATGATTCCAGATTGCGACAACAGTGCAGCAAATTGTATAATATTGTTGTTGGGGTTCTAAGCTTGGCCCCTTGCTATGTCGGAGAAAGCAGGTACGTGGAGTTGATCAGACTCCATATCCTAGTCAACTGCATGGAGCTTCGTTGGCGACAGCCATGCAGCGACCCTGTCGCCCCCTGCAAACTAGTGAAAACCAATCAGAAGTTTTACATCTGTTCAGATGGTACACACACACACCTCGCATATAGCGAGGTTGGATTTTTTGGAAGAACTTCGCTGGCGGAATCGGCAATACACCAGTGAGAGTGAACCTGTAAAAACCAAATGTACAAACGGGCGATCACTTCAGTCAGAAGAAGAAGAATTCGGAGCTTGTAGAAGGACTTCGAAAGCATCGTGGAAGCTCATGCGTTCAACCATCGCCCACGTCTCATTGAATTCCCCAGATGCCGTAGCAGCCTTCAAGGCCTCAGAAAGATCCGTGGCTAATTCGTGGATCCGGGTGGTAAGGCTCGGTTCCTCTGCTGGAGATGTCGTCTCAATGGGCACATTGTGAAAAGGATGGTGTCCGTGTACAAGGGGAATCTCGAAATGATGTCGCCAATAGTCCGCTGTACGTAGGGACCACTCCCAATTGCCCGAAAGACCATAAAAGTAGTGTTCAGGGTCACGACAGCGGGAATGCCCTAGCAAGGGGATTTCTTCAATGAAAAGCTCCCTGGTGTTGTTGGAGTGGGTAATGACCTTGAATTGGATCTGGTGAACCACGCGAGAAGAGAATTGAGCACGATGGAGGTAGTTGTGTGCAGAACTTGACTCCATTGGAAACGGGACGCAAGGAGGTGCTGGTCCTGAATATGTATCAGGATGGGCCATAGTATCCGTGGCAGGTGCCGTACTGTCAGTGACCAAAGGTGCCGACGTAGGGTTGGTCGTAGTGTCGGGAGCTCCTGAGTGACATAGTGCAGAAGTCTGGGCGTCTGGTACTTGAACTGGATTGGTAGGAGCGAGTTCACGGGTAGGATTCGAAGGCCAAGACAAGCCCGCCACGGTCGCGTCTCGTTTGTGTTCCATGGGTGAAACTGTCACAAATGCGAGAAATAGTGCAACAACGGCTGAAGCATCAAGAATTGCAGAAAAAAGCCAATCCCGAAAATGATAATATTCACAAAAATGATAAAAGTGAAATCCAGTCCTCAAGCAAGTGGGTCAATTGCGACGGAAAAGCCACAGCTCAAAGTCAAATAAAATAGAAATCGAAGAATCCTGTGTGTTAGTGGGTTGTCAAGGAAGAATTGAAAACCCTCTAGCATGGTCTTTTTTGGCCGGCTAGCGTATCAGGGCAGGATCACACCGGAGCTAATTTTGTAGCATTGCAAACGTAGTACGAAAGGCTGTCTGGTACCCGGAATGAGGAAAGAAGATTCACGGGAGTTGTACTGCCGAAGTCGCCATTCAGGTCGGTATGCCTCCAAAAGCTGCAAGACCGTCATATCATTGGAAACTTGGAATGTCTCACCGTCCAGGTCGCAAAAGCGAAACTCCAGATTCGAGGGATCAATTTGGATGTCCCATTGGGACCTCAATCTTTTGGAGATACAGAAGCGAAGTTCGGCAATTGGGATGAGGCCGGCTTCAACTGGTTCCATCTGACGTGACCAGGTAAACAAAGCTGCAAGTTCAAAGCCACTGACATGTCTAAAATTGGAGTTCACCAGAGCCATGTAGTGTTCACGGTCAGGTTCGCTTCGGTGAGTCAATGCCTGTAGGGGAGAGAAGTCAACCAAGATAAGGACAGGTCTGTTTGGAGGAGGGTTCGCATCACCAGGAAGGCCTCGATGTCCAGCAATCCATCCAACGGTTCGTGTACCAAGCGGTGTCTCAATCGTGGATGTAGCGCGATATGGATTGTGTCGAGAAGAACGAGCCATTGCGTCGAATGTGAAGTATCGAGGATAAAGCGAAAAGCCCAAGCTGCAAAATGGGTTGGAATAGCCACAGAAACCAGCTCAAAGTGTTAGAAATGAACGAGAAACGGTGTACCTAGTAAATGGTCACACAAAGAGACGATGAATCACAGGTCTTTTTCCTGCCGACAAATAATGTGGTATATTACACACTTGAGTCCGACGTATCCATCGGGTCAATATCATTCGCATCCAGCGGACCATGTACTTGTTGAGGAGGGACAGCGGGGCGAGTGAGATGTACAGTACGTTGTAGTGTTGCCGGTGGGGAAGAAGGTGGTGTAGACCGCCAGGGTGGCCAATATAAAGAGGTAGTAGTTCCTTGAGAATGGTGTTGGGCAGAGCGTCCCCAGCATGACTGTAAAATATGGAGGTGGTCCGGTATCGCTTCGTACGGCTGTGAGACAGAGACGTTGGAGTGTTCAGGGTGTGGTAAAACGGGAACAGTAGTTGCCGTAGGGGAGGAGGATGATGATTGAATTGGTACGTCATAGTATCTGCGCCAATGGTTAGCTGTAGTACGCAAGGTCGCCTGGTCGTTGGTGAGGTGCATGTTCTCCAGGAATGTTTCCACTGGTTTCCACGTTTCAAGACCATCAAGTGTCCTTTCCACGATCCAAAGTTCATCTGAACGGTTAGACAAAGGATAGCTCAGCTTCTTGATGAAGACGGAGTGGACAGTGGTAGAGGTCGGAATCATTCTCGCTGCACGAGGAATATAGGATGCCGAGGTAGGATCATCAGGTGGCAAGTGTGAGGCAAGGCCATGTATGGATGTAGGTGGTGAACGGTGCGAGACCAATCGAGCAGGATGATCCGTGTTGGAGGTCATCATGTACGATCACAAGAGTATGATAACGAGAAATACTGAACTGAAGCCAAAAGGTCGTGGGGAAGGTCAATGATGAAGGAATAAATAACGAATATCACCCAATGGAAAACGAGAAAAGGATGACACAAGGGAAAATCAGAACCGGGGTGGTGGACATCATAACGAATGTTGGTCTTTTTCCTCATAGACATGAGCCGTGCCAAGATCCATCAAGACAGCTAATCACTCAGCGGCTTTAGTGTATCGGGTGGCCGTGACGAATGGATGCCCACGTGGAATCACTTGAACATGTATAGCAAAGCCGGTGTCTTGTGCATCTGGATGGGGTGTCAGCAGCAATGGTGAACACTCACGGGTCGTGAAGGCATCGAGATGTTGATGAGTTTTCCATCTCGGGTAGAACCAATTCAAAACATCCAGAAGAGAATGAGGAAGGTCGTCAAGCATCTGAGCTCCTTGATCGGTGTCAATCATCATGTAGAACTCCGACGCTGGTAGGTGTATGGACCAGCGTTGTAGTAACGTGTCGGTGACGACGGTTTTGAGGTCTGAAACGAAATGACTGCGAGCATAGTCCGGGTAGATCACCTTGAACGTCTGGAACAAGCTGTCATAGGTGGCCGTAGGAAGGTTGCCCGCGACTTTGGGGTTCAAGATGTTGTAATAAGGGTTGCGTACGGCCAGTTGTTGCATCGGCTTCAGGTCCAACTGGAAAATAACCGGTCGGTGAGGTGTCGGAGGCGAAGACCGGTTGGGTGGGTGCTGAAATGACGTAGAGCCCATAGCGGAAGATGACGTCCTGGTTGGAGAGCGTGAGCGTCGTGTAGGTGAGATCCTCTCGTGGGACATAGCTCGCTGTTGGCAATAGCGGTCCAGGTGAACGCGGAGAGACATAATAAATGGCTGGCGGGTTGTGTGATACGACGTGTCAGAATTCAATGGGACAACAGCGCCCATGGTTCTGAAGATTAACAAGAAGAAAATTCCCAAAAGGAAGGCCAACTGGTTGGTGAAACAGGAATACCGTACCGCAACGTACCTTTTTCTTTTGGTTCGCATATGTCATTGGTCAGCCAAGTTGGTCTTTGATCTTATTCCACATAGAGCGAACATCTTCTTCAGACTTGCCCATCTTGGTCGAGATCACCTTCCATGAAAATCGAGATTTCTCGTCAGCCTTCAGAGTGCGTAGTTTCTGTTTGTCTTCAGAGGTCCAGAGTGACAGTGGGCTCGAGGAGCGGGATCGGGATTGGTCACGTCGACGACGACGCTTGGCAGGAGCCTTTGGAGCGGATTTGGCTTTCTGTTTGCGACTTGGCGGTGATGGTGTTCTAGTAGAAAGCTTCGAAGGTGCAGGTAAAACATCAGGAGGCGGAGCAGCAACATGTTGGTGCGGCTCAGGGAGATGGGTTTCCACCAGTTCATCCATAAGTGTCTCTTCCTCCTCCAGATCCGGCGATGGGATGGGGGCATTGTCAATGAAGGCATTGGTCTGGTCCGAATAGTGTGGTCGTAGCCCATCAGGTTGATTCCATACGTCTGTACTGGGAAGAGGAGTAGGTTCAATGTTGGGAATGAGTGTAGGTG